TGGACTTGTTGGACAAGTGGAAGAGACAGCAGGCAGGAGTGGACTTGGCTCCTCTCTAGAAGTGGTATCAAGGGAGAATGAGTCAACAACTGCTCAGCAGTCTGGAAACTGAGTGGTGAGGACTGTGATATGGTGGTACCTGTGACTCACCAATACTTATGGAAGATCAGAAGAGGGTGGAACCTATTGGGGAGGCACTGCATCGATTTAAAGTGAGGGAGAGGGACCTTCCAGATGTCAGAAATGCAGGATTGGGACTTGGGATACAGTTCATGGATGCTAAGTTATTGTATAAATAAGAGCCAGGAAGAGGAAATGGTTATCAACACCTAGCAACTCCCCAGTCAAAAAGTGAGGTGCAACTCAAATCAATTTCCCAGTCCCACAAATGTAAGGTACTTAATGCTCACTTAACAGATGAAGTCCATCAAAACAGAGTTCAAGTGATTGGCTCAAGACCACAGAGGCCTGATGGGATCCCTAGATTCAGGTGTCCTGTCCTAGCGCAGGTTTTCATCCTCGTCTGTCGGTGCCTCACCTCAGCCAGCAGCACTGACCTTAAGAGTGATAAATTTTCCCTGATTATGAAACCCAAACTTCTTTAAGAGGACAAAGGCTAGAGGCCCCCTTTTCTTGTCTTCCTCCTACTGGCCCTCTGCCCCCACCTCCCAAGAACCTTGCAACCTCACTGATCTCGATCACTCCCATCAAACACCGGATATTCCTTCCACCAACCCAAGTCCCTCATTCTCAGAGATCCCTCCATGGGAGTCCCTACTGAACTTGGGGGCTCTTCAGTTCAGCAGAGATCCTTGGAGAACAGGAGACTGTACTTCTGATTCCCCGGACACTCTCTCCAGCCAATGTCTGCAGGGCTTCTGGTCGCTTAGCCCCTCACCATCAGCTTTCTCCCCAACATCATAGTGGATGTTGGGGAGAACTTTCATCCCCAACGTCGTATTGGAGAGAATCAAAGAGATGCCTTCCTGCTGCTTTGGTTCTAAGAGTGTTTCCAGAATTATCCCTCTCATGCCCCATTTCCTTCAAATTACATCTCTGAAGGCTAACCTGAGGGAATCACAGCTCACCTGATGCCAGGCATTCAGGGACATGGCTGCCATCACCTGGGCTCCCTCTCAGTGAAAGGCAGGGGCTGAGGGAAGAAGCAAAGAGAACCATGAGTGAGCCTGGCCAAAAGGCTCTCCTTTAAACCAACAAACCTGTGGCCAATAACAATAGTTGCCATCATTTATCCAATGCCCACTGGATAAGTGGCATATATTCCTTTCAACCCACACCATACAATGAAGTTTGAATTCGGAAGAAAAAGACTTTGAAAGGGTAAGTAACTTGCCCTTGGGCACCAGAGCCTGTACCACCATCAAACCATGCTTCCTGTCCTGGGTAAGATGTTAAGTACGGGGGAATAGGAGTACACAAAGAGCAAAACAAGCAAAAACAAAAGCAAAACCTAACAAGAGGAAACCCACATCTTTATTTTTAAACATAAACTTTGGGGCCCCTCGGTGGCTCAGTTGGTTAAGCGTCTGACTCTTGATTTCAGCTCAGGTCATGATCTAGGGGTCATGGGATCCAGTCCCATGTTGGATTCCCCACTCAGTGCGGAGTCTGCTTGTCCCTTTCCCTCTGCTCCTCCCCTGGCTTGTGCTGTCAAATAAATAAATAAATAAAATAAAATAAAAAACTTTTACTGAGAAATCTAAAAAGTAAAAAAAAAAAATGTTCTCGGATATAAAATACACAAAATACATATCCCTTCATTCAGGCTCCACTTTAATCCCATGAATTTTCTTTTTCCCAAATGAGAAAACAAGGCTATGAGAATAATTTTCTTTACCAAGGTCACAAGGAGGTGGATGAACTTGGATTCCAACCAGATGCGCCTGATTCCAAAAGCCACGTTTTCAGTTAACTACACTAGATCACTTCCAATTATAATCCCAAAATGATCTTTTATAACATTCTGAGGTTAATATGGAATAGTCACCAAAAAAATTCAGAAAAAGAATCACAGAGTAAGCCTTCCTTTTTAGACCTTGGGGCCAGCATCTTTTTGTTAACCACTCCATTCTAGAACCCAGGGATGACCAAAACTGATTAGCAAAGGACCCGGAAAGGCCACCTCAACTTGCCCAAATGCTGGGTTATTACTTTAATTATATCATCCCCTACACTTTGTGCTAAGCAGTCATATTCTGCCAAAAAGCCAGCATCTTCCCTAACCTCACTGTATGCTGTAATTTCCTACTAGCCTCATCTTGTGCCACCCTCCTCCTTTGTTTGGCCACTCTGGCCTTCCTTCAGTTCCCTCTACTGTACTAACTCAGGGCCTTTGTACCTGCTGTTGCCTCTGTATGAACTACTCTTCTCCAACTTTAGGACCTTTGTAACTGATACTGTCTACCCACAATACTCTCCAGCAGCCTGACCCTTCTTCACCTAGGTAATACTAGATCATCCTCTACAAACCAAGTCAGCTTCCCATGTTAAACACTACACTCATACTGTGTTCACTTTACTATATACCACGTCTCCCAGTTTGAGATCATACATTTCCATTAATCTGTGCTTTCTACACTCAACAAACATTTCTGTATACTTCATTCATTCCAGGCCAAGTGTGAGATGCAGTGTAGAGAGGAAAAACGGACGTGACCTTCCGTCATGGAGCTTTGTCTAGACTAAAGGAAAGACACACACTAATCAGAGTCTCTTAAGTAACTTCAAGATAACAATTGTGATTAGTGCCGGGGGAATCTATCCTAGATGGGAAGACTTAGGGATAGGAACTAACTAGGTTAAGAACGCATGTTCTGGAGGCGAAAAGCCAAGAAGGCTGTAGCACAGCCGAGGAGAGTGTGCTGCAAAATGAGGTTGTAGAAGGTGCAGAAGGTGAAGCCATGCAGGGACCTGTGCACACGTTAAGGAGTTGGTCTTCGCCCAGAAAGCAAGGGGCCGCAGCTACTGGGTTACAAGCAGGTAGGGTGAACCGATCAGGTTTGATTACTACGTGACTTTCCCATTAAACTGAAAGCTCCCTGAGGGTGGGGCCCACGCTCGGCTCCTTTACAGCCGCATCCCGGGAACCTGGAGCAGGGGCTGCCATGCAGCTGCTCGGTAAGTAGTGGCGGGCCCAACGGGCATGGCTCTGAAGCTGTGTCGGGCACACAAGGCATCTCCTTTCCATCCACAGCTCCTCGCCCCAAAGCGGCCGCCGCGAGTTGGGGCGAGCAAAGGCACCCGAGGGAGGGCAGGACCGGTCCGCAGGCAGCCTCCACCTCCCTCCACCGCTGCTTCAGGGCCGCAGGAGGGGTGAACAGTGCGCCCCTAACAAAGACGACCCGGCGACAAAGCCCACCACTCACCTCAGAAAGGCGCAATGTGCGGCGTGACCGGAAGCGCGTCACCGCGCAGGCTGCGTCGCCCAAGCCGCACGTGCTTCCTCTCTAGGACGCCAGAGCGCGCCGCTCGGTGGTCCCCTGGCTTTGGGCCCCAGCGGGGCGGGGCTTCTTAACCTGCGGTCCTTGGAGACCTTGAATGGCAGAGAAAGTTGACTGTTGTTTTCGCTGATCTCTAACCGAAATTTAGCGTTTCCTTCAATTATGTGTTGGCAACAAACCGCAGTACGATCAGCAGTACCTGCGACTTTGTCACCAATTGAAATCACAGATATTTTCATATCACATCACAGTTGATGCAGTTATCTCAAAATACAAGCTATTCTCATCCCTAATTTGAAGTTATCATCGTTGTTATTAGGGCTCACCTTTAGATCATGTCATTTCATTTCACCACAGTGGTAAAGACACACATATATTAATGTATCACAGATTTATTTTTTTTAACCATTTAACTGTATTTTCATATAACTAGTTTCAGAGTGGTCCACAGATGCCATCACAATGCCAAAGAGGTCGTTAGGCAAAAAAAAACCAAAAAACAAAAAAAAAACTGTCCTCCTTAGGGGTAAAGATCTAGTCACATTAAGAAAGACCAGGATTGCGAAGGGATATTATTTTAGAACTATTTAGGAAGTGAAAACAGTGGAGATTTTTAAAAAAGTTTGAATAACAGATATGAGGAGAGGGAGCAATCTATTCTAGCCATAAAGTTTGGGTGACCTGATTGATGAAGGGGTCATTAACCAAGATTCAATTACTTCAGGAACTCAGGAAGAGAAGTTGGTTTCGGGCAGGAAGATTACAGAATTTGGTTTCAGAAATACTGAAAACACACACACATGCACACACTTGCTTTATTAAAATGTAATTCATATCCCATACCATCCATCCATCTAAAGTACACAACTTAGTAGTTTTTGGTATATTCAAAGAATTGTGCAACCATCACCACAATTTTAAAACATTTTCATCATTCCCAAAAAGAAACTCTGTAACTATCAGCACTAGCACTCACTTTCCATCTTCCCTGTGATAGCCAGAATAATGTTCCTCTCAAAGATGTCTGGAACTTGTATGTTAGCTTACATAATAAAGAAACATTAAGGTTGCAGATGGAATTAAGTTGCTTATGGGCTGATTTGAAAATAAGACTATCCTGGATTATCTAGATATGCCCAATGTAATCATAAGACTCCTTAAAAGTGGAAGAGGTCATTGGAAGAGAGAACCACAGAGGTGACAGATTGAGAGAAACTTGTCCCAACATCACAGGCTTTGAAGCTGGAGGAAAAGAGCCACAAATCAAGAAAAGTGGCCTCTAGAAACTGGAAAAGTCCAAGAAAATAAAGTCTCTCCTTAGCCAACACTTTGAATTTAGCCCCGTGAAACCCATTTTGGACTTCTGACTTCTAGAACTATAAGATGAATTCATAAATAAACAGAATAAATGTGTGTTGTTTCAAGTCACTGTTCACTGGTAATTTGTTACAGCAGGAACAGAAATTAATACAACCCCCATGTAAAGCTTTCCTCCATTCCCAGACAACTCCTGATCTACTTTCTGACTCTATAGACTTGCCTATTCTTGGTATTTACATCATATAATGTCCATTAAATCTCGACATGAAACAAAGTCTTTACTGTTGGTAATTTTATTAGTCTTCAGAATAATGGAAACCTATGTGTTTGTTCAGTGGCAAGACTTGGGAAGAGCTTGATTTTTTTGCTTCGGGGAGAGGGTTGCTATACTTTTAATCTACACAAACTCTCAACAAAAACAAAAAAAGACTACCCCAATGAGAAGAAATGTCTCAATTATCTCTGGTAAATGACCACTCCATGCAGAGAAGCAGTGTGATTTGAGCTGTATTTTGAAGTGCTTTAGACAAACTACATACTGCGCCATCTTTCAACCCTGGCCATGAGCATTAGCAGATGCCTCCTACCAAGGCTTGAACTTAGGTGCCCTGTTTCTCCATGATATTTTATTGATTTTATGCAAGTCTTTTTTTTCTTCAAATCATTTAGTAAATATAGCAAGATTATTGTCACGGGTGAATGGCAGGTGAACAATTACTGTCACAGGTGACTTACCGGTGAGAATTAGAACTTAAACAGTGTTACTTATTTCCTGCATAGTCACATTTCATGAATCAGAGTGCATACCACTCTTGATATTTAGAGAGAAATTCAGTAGGATTTTGCAATCTGGGTTTCCCTGAACAAGACTCTAATCCAGTGTCCTTAGGACCTTTAGAATGGGGAAAAGCTAGCCATCCTGAAATCCTTTTTGCTTAAATGATGAGTAATTTCCAATCCCAGTTGTCCACACACTATTCCAGTGAGTCTTCAGGATTAATAGCTAATTGTTGCTGTTCTATTGTACCACCTACAAGAAAATATATACTCATACCCACGTCTATTGTGGTATCTACCATCAAACATAATTATCTTAAAGCCTTGGCCATTCCTAAGATTCGGATGGGAGCCAGCTTCTCTCCTGGTCACCTCACAGTCTGAATACCCAGCACTCCCTCTAACTCCTATGTTATCTATCTTTAATTTACACTAAGAGTACTGTAAGTCAGGGGACCCAGAATATAGAATATGATGACACACTGGCTGTTATTCCTGACTTTAAAGTGGCAGGGAGAATATCAACTTCTCTCCCAGCTCTCTGAAAAGCCTAGCCACAAATGGACTGAAGTTATAGTGGAACTTAAATTTCATGCATAAAACTTGGCTGTCCAAAGAGTTAACAGTTAAGCTCAATGTTTTGTTGCAGTGGCTACAAAGACATAGGATTTGATACGGATTGTTTCCTTGCAACTGAAAATATACTCGATAGTGATAGAAAGAATGCCTTCCTTCCAAGACTGGGCACAAGGCAGGTATGTCTGCTCTTACCACTACTATTCAACACCGTGCTGGGAGTCCTAACAAGTGCAAGAAGGCCAGAAAAAGAAACAAAGGGCATACAGATTGGAAAGGAAGAAGTAAAACTGTTACTATTTGCAAGAGGACATAACTGTCTATGCAGAAAATCCCAGGGCACCTGGGTGGCTCAGCTGGTTAAGCATCTGCCTTTGGCTCAGGTATGACGCCAGAGTCCTGGGATTGAGCCCCATGTGGGGTTCGTGGCTCAGCAGGGAGCCTGCTTCTCCCTCTCCCTCTGCCTACAGCTCCCCCTGCTTGTGCTCTCTCTCTTTCTGTCAAATAAATAAATAACATAAAATAAAAAAAGAAAAGAAAATCCCAAAGAATCTACAAAATCTCCTAGACCTAATAAGTGAGTTTAGCAAAGTCACAGAATTAAAGTCAAGGTACAAAAAAGAAAAAAAAAATCAATTGTTGGAAACTGAAATTTCTGATAATAAAATTTCCTATGATACAAAATAATTTTAATAAATTTTCAAAAATAGTACCACTTACAATAGCACAAAGAAATCATAAAATATTTAGGTATAAATCTAACAAAATATGTCCAAGATATGCATCCTGAAAACTACAAAATAATGACAAATGAAATACCTAATAAACAGAGAGAGATACAGTGTTCATTGACTGAATAACAATATTGTTAAGATGTCAAGTCTCCCCAACTGATCTATACATTCAAAGCAATCCAATCAAAATTCCAGCAAGACCTTTTGTAGAAGTCAACAAAATGATTCAACTGTATGTCAACCATACAATAAAGCTTAAAAAAAAAAAAAGGCAGTGGAGACAGGAGGGCAATACTGTGTAATGGTTTGCACATGGGCTCTGAAGTCAGACCACCGGGTTTGTCTCTGTTCTTCCACTTACTAGCTGTATCTTTGGGAAACCTATTTAACCTCTCTGTTTTTCAATTTCCTAAGTGAAACAAGGTAACAGTATCTACTTCAAAGGCTGCTGGGAGGATCCAGTTAATGGGGATTACCTAACATAGGAAAGCACACAATGTTACTGGCTATTAGTGTTTATTAAAGAACAGCTATAACAAATAAAAGGCTAATATCCTGTTGGAGAGGCAACAACTGAAACAAACAAATCTTGACTCAAGTGACTTCAACCATTTCTTTGCCTGAATCACTTTTGGTGCGTCTGCACAATTTTAAGTCCATTAATAAAAGATGACCTCCCAGTGTCCTCCCCACCGGGCAGATTGCTGTCAAATAAGGGGATGATAAAGCTGTCTTCTCAGGGCAAGATTTCAGGCAGAAGGTTAAGTCTGGAATTGAGAACTGTCACGACAAGTAGATGACAGTACAGGGAGGCATGAGACATAACAAGGCACAAACTGACATGCATAAAAGAAGAGGATTTGCTCCTTATTTTTACAAAAATATACCTTTAGGATCTCTCTAGATCAGTGGAGACAATTTTGATTTTCATGACTGGGGTCAGGCAGAGTGTTACAAATAGTATCTAGTGGTAGATGTCCGTGGGTAAGCTAAACATCCTACAATGCACAGGACAGCACCAACAAAAAATTACCAGGTCCCAAATGTTGATAGTGTCAAGTTTGAGAAACCCTGCTTTGGATGGATAACAAAGGCCATTTCCTCAGTTATTAGAGTCCCCTAACCAAATCAAAGGTCATGGCAGCCATGCTATTCTAGGCATTATAAGGACAAATGTCAAGCCTTTGCACACAAATATATGAGTAATAAAAAATCTTCATATAGATTTTGTCGACCAACAAATTTAGGAATGCCAAGGAACATATATTGAAAATATATATTTTTTTAAATACGATAGTCTGGGTAAAAGTCAGGGCTAATAATTTGTAAATGTCAGTTAAGAAATTATAAATTACCAACATTGGTTCAAGAAGAAATAGTGTAATTGGATCAATGCCATAGAAGGAACTGATAAAGTAATCAAAGATCTCTTGTCCTCTACACTACCCCCAACAAAAGCGACTGGCCCAGCCAGCATTATTAGGTGGACTTTTTTCCAAATTTCCGAGGAACAGATAATTGCTAGGCTTTTGAAACTGCTCTAAAGTACAGAAAAAGAACAGCCTCCTAGCTATTTCTAGCAATCTCATATAACTCAGTTCCCAAACCCTGACAAAGATGGAAAAAAATTACAGGGCAATCACACATATGAATATAGATGCCAATATCCTAAAATATTAACAAAT